CATATTATTCAGAGATGTTCATCTTTTATTGGCTCTTGCTCTCCAATCTGCCTCTAAATACATCTTGACTTTGTATATACACAGTATTTTTCAAAATTACAGGGCTTTTAATATAATAAGAATAGCTGTCTTTTTTTAAAGTATAGTTATTCATAAATCTTTGGTCTCACTTTTGAATATGTATATAAACCACATAAACTGTCTATATGAATGCAGCCATATACACATACGTGCATAGATATATATGTGTGTGTGTGCATATATATATATGTGTGTGTGTGTGTGTGTGTGGGCATGTGTACAAGTATATCTGGACATGTTTGACTTATTTTAGCATGTGTGCATATGTTTTTATGAGGGTCAGGAAGTGTGAAACTTTACTATTTTGTCTTGACCTACTGAACACTAAAACATCCTATTACAGCCTTCTGTTCATCCATTTCTTATGTCCCTTTTTAAAGGGGTTTATTAAACTGAGTGCTGGTGGCTCACACCTGTAATCCTAGTTACTAAAGAAGTTTAGAAGAAAGAATCATTGTTCAAAAACACCCTAATCTAGAAAGTTCATCAGAGTCTTTTCTCCAATTAAATATTTTTTAAATAAAAATGAAATAGTAGAGTGCTAACATTGAGTACAAAAGCCCAGGGACAGGGCATAGGCCCTAACTTCAAGCCACATAAAAAGAAAAAAGGGAAAAGAAAGGTCTGCTAAGTTACCTTTGTGCTTCAGAAACATTAACAATAACAACAGTTCTTTCTAAATTATTTCCAGCGACTACTCCATTATTTCACAAAATCAACTCAGAGTTTGGAACCTACCAGATTTGACTAAAATATAAAACTGCTACATATAATCTCAGTGCTTGTAAGCAATCTACCTAATTTTCAAGAGCCTTAGTTTCTTTACTAAAAATGCGGTTTCAGAAATGTTCTCTGGGGTCATAGCATAGGGAAAGATCTGAGGATTTACAAAGCCAACAGTTCACGTTCTGCCTCATTTTGCTTCAAATATTCTGATACTGTATATTGCCACCACAGCTATAAGCATAGTCATTTGACTGTTTCTAAGCATGCAATTCATTCCTACCAAAGAGATCTTTGAATTCCAAATACTGAAAAACGTACAAAAGCAAAAGTAAAGTTTGAGCTAGTTCCTGATCCGTACAAAATAGCCTTACCTGTGAGGAAGGAGAGAAATACAGAAAAAAGAATACTAAGGCAGCTGAGATGAGAGAATCATGGTCCAAAGCCACCAGGCTAGAAAATTCAAGAATAACTGAAGAACATTTTACTTCTTCTTTTATAGTTGGATTTTTCCCCTGTTGAATTTTAAAGAGACAACATGAACTCATCAATTTCACTAATTAAAATTTCCCTGAAGACAGCTCTGGGACTTTTACCATGGGAGTTTGAAATGACTTAAGCATCTCTTCTGGGCCTTAATCATTCTTGGCGACAACCTTGAGGCTTGTTCTGATCAACTGGAAATTGTTCTGCCTTACTACCTTCATCCTTCAGCAGGCAGAAAGAACCACAAGCTGTAGAAAACAGATTCTTCACTGGCAGCTAGCCAACATGAATTCTACCATGCTGTATTATTATACAGAACATTCTTTCATTTGAAACTCAAGATTGCTGGGCACTGTTGCTTCACATTTTTGTAATCCTGCCTACCCAGGAGGTTGAGATCTGAGGATCAAAGCCAGCCTAGGCAGGACAGTCAATGGGACTCTCTTATCTCCAATTAATTACCAAAAAGCTGAGGCAAAGCTGTGGCTCAGATGGTAGAGTCCCAGACTTGAGCACGGAAAGCTCTTCAACAGTGCCTGGGTTCTAAAATGAAGCTAAAATGAAATAAATAGTAAAACTACCACCTTCTTGTTCTGTGAAGGCAGAACATTTCTCTAAGTCTAACAAACAAAAGCGCAACTTGAATTATTAAGTCCCAGAGTCTCTGCTTTCCAGTCATTACTGGAAACTGACCCATACAAAACCTTTGAATGTAGGAGAAACAGTGTCCCTTCATGGTAAGATGCATCTGCCAGGGGACCCCACAAGGACAGAAGAGCTTGGAGTAAGTATGAAATGTGAAAACAAACAAAAATAGTAAAAACATGTGATTCACCTACATAGCAAAGAATACCAGGTATGTACCAGCATATCTGGCTTTCATTGGTTGGGATTATCATTGAAGTCTTTTTCCTGAACTGGACTTGAACTGTGACCCTCTCCACCTCTACCAGAGTACTCCACCAGAGTAGCTAAGATTCCAAATGTGAGCCACCACACTCTATTAGTTCTTTGTCCATATGTGTAACCAGGATCTTGGGGCAACTTTGCTTTCCAACTAAACATATTAAAATAGCATTACCTAGATGAAATAATTGTATGGGGCCATTGTGCTGGAGAATGAATTTGAAAGTGATGCCTTTGTGCGCAACTCAACTATTAAGACCGAAGGCTTTGAAATACACTTGTAAAAGAATATTTGTATTTGAAGTAGGGACTGTGTGCATTTTGTGGTTCATCACTTCTCCTTAAAACATCACAAGTTAATGGAAACATCTATTTCAATCAGATCTTCCCTGGTCTAACAACACTGAAATCAAAGATATGAATGAATTGGGCAGGGTACATAAAGAATTAATAAATCTCTATATATTTCATAGCTATAGGACTAGCTTTCTTCCACTCAAACTTAATTGATTTTCCTTTTTGTATCACTATATCTAATAGCATTTATACTTTCTGGTCTCTAATATTGTCAAAATTACTTCAAAAATGTGCCATCCTGGTGCATTTATAAATTTTTCTGGCCGGGCACCTGTAATCCTAGCTACTCAGGAAGCTGAGATCTGAGGATTGCGGTTCAAAGCCAGCCTGGGCAGGAAAGACTGTGAAACTCTTATCTGAAAAAAACCACCAGAAAACTGGAAGTAGTGCTGTAGCCCAAGTAGTAGAGTGCTAGCCTTAACCTGAAGAGCTGAGGGACAGAGCTCAGGCCCAGGGTTCAAGCCCCACAATGGACAAAAACAAAAAACAAATCTTCTGGTAAAGGGGCTGGGAAGGTGGCTTATTGGTAGAGTGCTTGCCTTGCATGCATGAGAACCTGGGATGGATTCCTCAGCACCACATAAGCAGAACAAGCTGGTATTGACACTGTGGCTTAAGTGGTAGAGCACTAGCCTTGAGCTGAAGAGCTGAAGGACAGCACCAGACCCAGAGTTCAGGCCCTACAAACAAAAAAACAAAAACAAAATCTTCTGGTACAAAGAGCAGTGTGTGGTTTATGGAGGAACTCAGTAAACACTCATCAAAATCACTTCTACTATAAGAATGCAATGCTTTCAGAAATGTTGTATTTTTAAAAATTCATTTCTTATTTCCTACTTCATCATGAAAATACATGCAAATAAGTTATCATGTTTTAACCTACAGCTAGATCTGTCAAAACTAATAGTGGCAAAGAATTATTCTTGGTAAAACATGGGACTGTTTTACAAATATCAAATATCTGATGCTTCCTAAATATCAGATTAATAATAAAGCTTCCTAAGCATGGAATATCATTGATAAGTCAATCACTACCTAATGAGATAAAAATCTGGAAGGCATGGCTCAAGTGGTAGAACATCAGCTACTCATCAGAAGGTTGAACAACTGCTAGCCCCTGAATTCAAGCATAAGTCTATGCATGTGTGCACACAGACACACACACACACAGACACACACACACACACACACACACACACACACACACACACACACACTACATTCCAAGTATTTGAGGATAGCCATGTTGTTTTGCACGAACCCTGCTTTGCTATCTTCATGAGTTAATATCTAAAAATAAGTGCTTGGAGATTCTGGCAGATGAAGAAAAGTCTCTTTTTTGTTGGTGTTGTTTCTTTGTTGTGAGCCTGTCCTGGGGCATGATCTCAAGGAATGGGCACTGTCCATTTTGAGCTCATTGGTGGTTAACTGAAGATAAGAGTCTCGCCTATATGCCTGTCTGGGCTGATCATCAGGTTTCAGCTTTCTGATTAGCTAGGGTTACAATCATGAAGCACTGCTGCTTAGCAGAGGTGGTCTTTTAAAAAGTAATTCTTAGAAGTGAGGACTGGCCACAAAGGTGTTATTATAAGAGTCCTGTTTTCTCCAAGACAGGATGAGAAGTCTCAACAGCAAACACTGAATTGAAAAGCCCTGCAGACAAACTGCTACAGAATTATGGTACTAGACATGTCAACACTTTTTAAAATTAATTCTATGTATATGTGTACCATATGGAATCATATTTATTATAGGGATATAAACTTTTTTGAGCAATAAGAGATTGTTAATATTACCATTCAGGAAAATGACAAAGAAGATGCCTTGGTGGAATAAAAGTATTTTACCTGTATTTTAGAGACTTAGTATTTACCATAACATGTGTAGGTTGTAATAAAAAAGCAATGTATATGTCTAGATTTCCAATAATTATATGGTATGATTGCAGATGAGATGCTCTTTTCTGGGAACTGGTGGGAGGGGAGGGGAGAAAATGATGATTTGGGAGAGGTGGTAGGATGACTATAATAAAACTACATCACTTATATGAATGAAAATAGCTCATTGAAACCCATGAGTAACTGTGCAAAAATGTGAGAGGAAAGAGACTAGGAAAGGTTAAAAAGATGGAGGTAATTTAGTTAAAGCACAAACACAAACATTAATAAAATGAATTTAAATAATGTACATAGCTATAAGTGTAAAATGACAAAGAACTATTTATAAAATAATATAAAAGTATTTATTTCCTTCACCCTTCACACGCACATTGCACTTGGTGCATGCTGAATGTTCATCTTTTCTCTCCGTGTACGTGAATGTTTCCTTTGATACCTGACAATGCATCAGAGATATAAAATCGACTTTACAGAACATGCTACCAAAGTCCAACAGAGTTTTCCTAAACCCATCTGAGATTTCATTGATAAAGACAAGCCCTAGTGATTCTACTTCAAAAGCGCATTTCTTTGGATCAGCTTCCGAAAGGCTTGTTTCACATCCTTGTTCCTCAGGCTATAAATGATGGGGTTCAACATGGGACTTATGAACGTGTAGAAGACAGCGATGATTTTGGACTGCTCCACCGACTTGTCGGTGGGAGGTCGGACATACATGCAGAACAGCGTCCCGTAAAACACAGTCACCGCGACCAGGTGGGAGCCACAGGTGGAGAAAGCTTTGCGCCGGCCTTCTGCAGAACGCATCCTCAGGATGGCGATGAGAATGAACAAGTAGGAAATGAGAATGATGAGGAGAGAGTTGGACAGGTTAAATCCCGCCACCACAAACATGGATGTCTCTTTAATAGAAGTGTCAGAACAGGAGAGTCTGATGAGGGGAGGGTCCGCACAGTAGAAGTGGTTAATGACATTGGAGCCGCAGAAGGTCAAGCGATAGGTCCACATGGTTTCCATCAGTCCACTTAAAAACCCATAGATGTACGGGCCAGCAATCAGGCGGATGCACACCGCTCTGGACATCTTGCTGCTGTAAAGCAAAGGGTTGCAGATAGCCATATACCTATCATAGGCCATCACAGCTAGCATGTAGTATTCAGTGATCACCATGGCAATGAAAAAATAACACTGGACCAGGCAAGCAGCATAGGAAATAGTTTTCTTCTTGGATAAAAAGTTCACCAGCATCTTGGGAGTCACATTAGTGGAGTAGCACAAATCCAAGCAGGATAAACTGGCAAGAAAGAAGTACATGGGGGTATGTAGGCGTGAATCTACCCGGATCAACAGCACCATCCCTAGATTACCCCCGACAGTGATCAGGTAGATCACCAGAAACAGCACAAAGAGGACCGGCTGCAGCTCCGGACGATCCGTTAATCCCAAGAGAATAAATTCAGTCACCAAGGTGAAATTTCCTCGGACCATTTTCTTAGGTGCCAGCATGTTTGCTTGGATGAATTAAAAATGGATGAAGAAGAGGGAATGAGATACCCATTAGATATTTATTTTTTTCTCTTCCTATTCTCCCTCCCTCCTTCTCCTGCCTCATTCCCCCTCGCGCTGTTATTACCTAAGAAGTTCTGAAAATGTAGGCATGCTTAAGCTGCGTTTGCTGAAGTAGATCACAGTCTGAATTAGTTAATAGCACATTGTGCACATGATTCCAAATGGGAGAGGTTCCTGAGCCACCAACTTGTTTTAGAATGGAAGAAATATAGACCTACATGTCATGTAAAATAGATTGAGCCTCCAGTGGTTTCCTAAACTCACTTTTAAAATCTGTGCCCTGGCCTAGTCTCAGACAAAATGATAATAGATGCTTAGGAAATATTTTTCTAATCACTAACACTGTGTCTTTTGAAAGTAACACTAGCTAATAACACTAAGTAATGCCAACACTATATTACAAAGTTCTGACTTCAGAGGGTCTTGAAGGCTTTCTGGTGTTTTCAGTCTTATAGTCATAAGATTTCTATGGAAATACACCAAAGATAAACTTCCCTATTGTTGTAATAATAAGGATCTACGAGATGTATTAGGGAAGACATTTTAATTGAGAAATTTATGTGAATAAAGCAATTGAAACATGAATAAAGGCAAGAGAAATCCTCAGTTTTAGGTCATAATTTTATCTGATCATCACCCACTGACTTTTTCTATTACCTCTCCTTAGCCCTCCTGTGTTTTAATTTACAGGCATACATCACCACACCCTGAGCACATGTGCTAGTATTTATTATGTTTTTTTACCATGTGTGCTGCAGATGCTTGATGCAATTATCTTTGACATCACCAAAAACTTCTTGCTTTTCTACAAATGTAAAAATTGACTTTATCACTTAAATTGAGAAAAATTACATTTTGTTTTTTTAAGTTACTTATCTTTCTATCAGGCATGTAATAAATCGATTATCATACTCCTCATGGAGTAGGTTCATTTCTGTCAGTGAACAGGGAAGAATAATGGTAAGTCGGTAAACATGATCAATATTTAGGAAAACCTCAGAGTTTCAAGAATTTCCTCCCCTTTAATATCTGATGAAAGTATATTCTATGCATATATGGGCTATGGGCTTGTCAAAATTAAAGCCCTTTCTACAACTAATTGATGCTAATTTCAAAATGTGGGGAGAAAAATATAGCTAAATGAGACAACAAAGAGTGAGGCTGGAAATTATGGGAGGAAAAGAATGTTATTATCCTCTGAATTGCAAAATATAAAATATCAATAAATGATTATCAATCCTGTTGCAGTGGCTTTTTCTTGAAACCTTAATCATCCAGAGGCACAGTTAAGAGGATCACAAGAACAAGGCTAGATGGGCAAAAGTACCGGGACACTGGTAGAATAATAGGAAGTATAGCTCAAGTGGTCAAGTAAAATATCCTAATTATCCAAAATATCCTAATTCAATCCCCAGTGTCACAAAAATAATAATGAATAAATAATTAGCACAAAATATAATCAGCAAAACTTACTTCTAGTAATGCCTAAAGACTTAAAGACTAGATACTTCAGAACCCAAAATATTACTTCTTGAAATGTATATTTTGCCTTTTAAAAGTCTGGCCTCACAGGGTAGCAGAAAACTGAAGTTCAATCTGTTACTTGCATGTGGTTGGGTTGTGTGTACTCAGGGTATTATGTGGTCCCATCAATTGGATGACAGTTAGTTTGAGGCTAAGTAAAAGGCCAGAGGAAAAAAGAAGTGAGTGCTGTTGAGGTTTAATTCAACAACTGAACCTCAAGCTATTTCAACTAGAATTTAACACATAGCAAAGTCTATGAGAAGAACTAAGAAAAATCTGACATTTTAACATAGGTAATGAAGACTAAGAAATCAAAGTTATATAATTGGTGATACCACAGAGCTCATGCAAATACTGTTCTCCCAGGAAGGAGCTTTTTCCATGTGTGGAGTCCATGACAAGAGTTCCACAGCTGCCTCTCTGTTTCCATGCCTATATGTCCCTGAGATAAAAGCGAGCAACAGATATTATTTGGTTCCAATGAATGAGCATTATGTTGAGGTCATGGAATAAATAATGATTTGATACTTTCCTGTGTTCTCAGCAACAATTTCTTTGAGTCCTCATTTAGAAAAGACTCACCCCGGGATTTGCTGCTCTCATCTATTCAATATTAGATTACAACCAGTTTTTTGTTTGTTTGTTTAACATTTCTACCATTCTGGTTATTCACCTATGTGTTTATCAATCCTTTGCTGATTACTACTAATGAACCTCAAAGTTAATATTAAACTATCTTCCTAAGCTTATTTCTCCAATAATTTAAATAGTTGTCTTGATATACTATAAGCATTTCATTATTGTTAAAATGGGTACAATTCCAACTTAGTTCATCTCATTTATGAATTTTTCATAAATTAATTTTTGTTTCAACAGAAACTATTCTAAAAATATTAGATGATCAGATGAAGTGTGTTTCCCTATTTGTCTGTTTAGTATTCATTTTCAATAAAGAGGAAATACTATTTATATAGTAAAATGATTATACTCAGTGCAATATTCTAAATTTTTTAAAATCTTACATTGATCTAAATAACACATATATAATACACACAGATTTATTTTTATTGTGTAAGAACTAGACTTGCTTTTATTGTCACCTGATTCTTACCAAGAAGATACATCAGAAAATGTGAGAAGTCAGAATTTTCACTCCTACCTGACACCAGAAAAAAATCTTCACAGAGACACTAGTGGTCCAAGGAAAGATCTGTCAAGAATAATTTATACCTAATCTGTAATTTCAAGCTGAGGTCCCTAAAGTATTTTTCAGTAAGCCCTAAAGAAATAATTACAATGTAACTACAAAGAATTACTCCAGGGAAAAGAAATAATTGGAATAGATTCATATTCACTAGAATCTTGGGATGTCAGCCATGTAACAGCATAATTTGTAATCACTTTGCATTTATTGTTTGGGATAATCAAGAGCTGATTCTCACAGGATTGTTTTTTTCATTAGAAACTACTAATTTTTCTCAGTTGGAGGACTAAACACCACCTGGAAGTAAATCATCAGAAATCCATTATTTTATGTTTTCCAAATTACTTCAATCAGAGGAATTTGTAAATGGCTATTTTTTATAGCAGTTTTGTGAATGTGATGTGACACATAAAATTCAGACTGGAGAAGGAATCACAGAAATATCAACCTATATAAATTAAGTCATAATTTATATAAATATGGATTATTTTATTCCTTCAAATGGAAAGAATATGATATTGATACCCTAAAAATATGTAATTTACCAAAGTATTATTTACTTGCCAACATATGCAATCAATTAAGATGATGGACAAGGAAAATATGGTCCACATACAAAATGAAATTGTACCCAACTATTTTTGTTGTCTTAAGGAGAATACATGGTGTTGAGTTCATCAAGAAAAATAAAATAAAACATTCTCTTCAAGAAAAGTGTCACATGGTTTTTCTAGATGTGGACTCTAGGATAGAATTAAAAGACACAAAAGCAAAAATGAACCTTCAGGGATTTGGAGCAAAAATAGAGAATGACGTAAAGGGGAATTAAAACCTCAATAATGGAGTGACTATGATCAAGTTATATTATATGCATAGTTAGAAGTGTCATAATGCTATTCCTTACTATGTACATATTATATATATATATAATATATATGAACCAGATGCCCTTAAATGGTCCAACGGGTCAAAAATATAGTATACATGGGGCTGGGAAGGTGGCTCAGTGGTAGAGCGCTTGCATTGCATGCATGAGGCCCTGGGTTCGATTCCTCAGCACCACATAAGCAAAAAGAAAAAAAGCCAGAGTGGCACTGTGGTTCAACTGGTGGATCAATAGCCTTGAGCTGAAGAGCTGAGGGACAGCATCCAGGCCCAGAGTTCAGGACCCATGAATGGACCCCCCCAAAAAATATATAGTATACAATGTAATTTTGCTCATGCATTAGTAGAAAAAATATTGTACCATTTATAAAGAAATGCAAAGACCTGGAAAAATAGCTGGTAGTGAAGTAAGTCAGACAAAAGATGCATGCTTACCCTTGTATGTGGAAGCTAGATTTAGCTTACAAACTAATTAGACAATGCACTGAGTGGTATGAAAGAAAGTGTATACTAATGTATTAACTGGAATACAGTAGATTCAAGGGAAATCTCAAGTGTAATTTTTTTAGGCAAAGTAACACCATAAAGAAGCAGGTACCCAAAAGGGGCAGGGTGAGGAGAAGAGCCAGAGAATGCAATCAGAAAATCCAATGCATATATTAAAAAATTACCAACATTGAGGGAAGTGTTTTATTGTTGGGAGGGAAAGGTGTGACATTGCTCAAGATACATGGCATTCATAAACTGCTTTGTTAAATGAGAACCTCTTTGTACAATTACGTAAAGAAAATTTTTTAATTAAATGAAGAAGAATATGCAACTAGATACAAGATATAGTACATGTGGTTAAATAATTTTTAATTGTGAGGAGACTAGAGATACATACATTCTTCATCAGAGAAGCATTCTCCAAAGAAAGTATCAAAAGCAAAGCCCTTACAGTGGTCTTTATCTTCATCCTTGTTTTTGGTCTTCCTCTCTCTCATTCACTGCCAATCTCATTCCAAGCTAAGTAGCTCCTTAAATACGTAGCCACTGCTTTGAATTTATTTCTCTTAAATTTCCTCCAATTATAGACTAGTCTTTAGACATCAGTACACATTTGAATGCATCAAACTGACAGCAAAAATGTATATTCAGATGTGTTTATACATTACAGCATACATCAACCACCCCAATTGTTTTTAATACTCCTGTTTTCTAATTTGCTCTGTATTGCCTTCCAAACTATTACCGAAGAGAGCATTCACTACAGTCTGGAAAAGTGTAAGTGTAAATGATCCATAAAGACTTACTGCGTAAATTTATTGCAAACCAAAATGTGTTC